AACCTAATAATACAGCAGTTTTTGCCATTCATTTTTCTTGTAAACATAAGAAACCAGGCTAAATTTTTAAAGAGTCTGCGCAAATTTGAGGTAAAAAAAAAGAACTTTCGGTCATTATAAATTAAGTCTAACGTTTCAAATTATAGATGAAAGTTCTTCAAATGTCCTCATCAAAGATAATCGACTTTGGGCTCAGAAAATGGAGCATAGTTTTCTCCATAATCACATTAGCTTCATCTTCAATATTTCTATTTAACAGAAAAATATTTTTGTCTCAACCTGGCTTCTTTACCATGGTGGATATACGGCCATTCTTAGGAGTATTTCACCTCTGGACATTTGTCTTTTGGTGGATGATTAATTGTTTAGCAGTAAAAAACTCCTCATCCGTTCTGCTGGCAGAGTTTCGCGTAAGCTTTAAAATTGCGATTAACTAATGTGTACAAAAAACGTTCCTCCTTTAGAAATTTGCATTGTCACCGCCTGAAAAAGAGGGAATGAATCTGTTAAAATACTGTAAGATGTGGCACTATCTATATGATTCAGTTTCTAGCAAGCTAGGTAACTAAATCTTATCAAAAAATTTATTCCATAAAAAAAATTCGATTCAAAAAAAAAAAAAATTTAATGTTTCAGGAAATTGTGCGCCTTTTGCAGCAAGCGCGGTGCTATTTCTTTCTTTTGGAAACTGCTTATTCATGGCCTATCAAATAACCTCAAATTACTCATTGGAAGCAGATTTTTCACTTTACATCTTTATGTGTGGTGGCATAATTTTCTTTTGGCTCTACCCAACAGCTATTTTTATTACTGCTCAGAAAATGCAGAATCAAGTACAAAAGTGGAACAAACAAAATTTGCATTAAAATACATTTCTTTTCATTTCTAGATTCACGAGGACCTGCACGAAGCAATGCTTATAATTAAAAATTTAAAGCTAAGAAAACCAGATGAACAGAAATGGGTAATTTTAAGTTGAAAGAAACGGAATGAGAAAATGCAATAATTATTTCAGCTGCTGGAATTCTTCAGTAGAATGATGAGATTCGCACCGCAGGTCAGCTTTCATGGGTATTTGGAGATAAACAGCAAAACATATCTGTCGGCAAGCAAATATTAACCCAATTTTCTCAATTTTAAGCATTAATTTTCTAATAAATGCAGCTTTGCGTTGCCTTGCTCTTGAACTTAATTGTGCTCGTCCAACTGAATGTGCGCCAAAAGAAGTTCAGCTCCTATGATTTCTTTGATCTTACAGCGACCCTTGTGCAAAACAAGGATTGATATTTACGATATTAATTACATAATCCTTACAAGCGCAGAAAGGTATTTAAAAATCTCATTTTTATTTCATAATTATATTTATATCTGTAATGCTTATGAATAAATTGAACCAGAAATCGAAATCTTACATTCATTTGCATAAAATTTAATATATTTCTATTGATTTATAAATTAATATATTTTAAATAATTAAATTGATTTTTTTTAAATAAGGGAAAAGTAAATTTTAATTTAGACCTATTAAATATACATTTTCTAGCATCATTTGTAAAAAAATTGATGGCCACATAAACGATCACAAACTTCTTCCTAGCCAGTCATTCATTGTCATGTGAATGGCCATTATTAACAAAATGTGTCACCAGACATTCCACTTGTCACGACCCTTCTTAATAATAAGATGACGTGCGCATATTTTATTGATTTCCAGAGCCACTGACCAGAGCAAGTCACTTTCCCTTGCTCACTCACCACCATGGTCTCTTTTTATGGAGAACAAAAAAATTTGTTAATATTTTCAATCCTCATTGGCTTCACGCCTTTAGCAAGAAATTCAGAAGGTAAATTGCATTTGAAATTTACTTCAAAGCCAGCTGTGTTGTTTGTCATCATAACTGTTCTCCAAATTGGAGCTCTACTAAAATTCCTGCTAGTTGTTAAGAAAGTATATCAAAAGGATTTTCTCTAAATGAACCTAATTTAAAAATAAACTCGTTCATTTTAGGCTATTTATGCAGAAGTTGGACTTTTCGTTGCTATTTACACAACTAACATAATTATAAGCCAATTGATTCCGATTTTTTTACTCTTAAACATTCGCAGTCAAATAGCCTACTTTGACGCCTGGTTTGATTTTCAGGTAATTATTTATTATATAATAATATTTCTTTGTGTATAAAATTTGGATAAAAGTTGAATTTCAATCATTAATTTTAACTTTTTCTATAATTCTAGGAAGAGATGAGCGTTTTGATAGGAAAAAGAAAGACGCTTGGATTAAAACGTCAATCAAAAATATTATTCATTAGCATCATATTCTTCTCAATTGCGTTTATGAACGGCAGACAATTTTTTGCTAACATGAGCGCTCCGACGCTCGACGATTACTTGCACTTCATCGGAGGCTGCTACTTTAGCACTTTGCTTTCATTGTGGACAATAAACTGCACAGCAATCAGAAGATCTTCGATTTCGATCTTGAATGAATTCAATGTCAGGAAGTAAGAAACTTTTATTATATGTAATTAATATAGATAATTTTCCAGAAAGCGTTAGTGGATTCGAAATTTGAAATCGAAAAATTGCAAAAGACTGCTTTGAAATATTGTGAAATTTGGCATTTTTTCATTGATAAGATATTCAGCAAATCAGGTCTGATATAACTATATTTTGTAGCCTTAAATTAGCAACTTTTTAATAAGGTTGCTGCGCGTCGGTTGCTTTTTCGAGCACTCTGCTGCAGTGCTTCGCGAACGTATTGATTCTAATCTACCAGTTTTCAGCAAATTACTCCTTCACAGACGATTTTAAAATCACCTTTTTTATTCTCCTGCTGGCGGCTGTTTACTGTTTTTTCGCAACAGTTTTTTTCATGCAGGCGCAAAACACCCATAAACAGGCAAGGAGAAATCACTTGCGTCCTTTTTTTGAACTACGTCACTTTTTAGATCACCGGAGATTTGAGATTGGCCATGGCCGCTTCTATTAGAATAATTAATGAGCAAAAATCAAGATCCTGCCAAAAGATGGTGAAAAATTTAGTATTAAATCTTAATTAAGAACAAATTTGTTTACAGTTGGTTGAGTTTTTCACCAGAGCTATCAAATCTCATCCCGATGTTAATTTCCACGGCTATTTCACAGTGAGCAGCAAAAGTTTTCTGGTGGTAAGAAAAATATTCATGATTATTCTGTTTATGATTATAACGAGTTTATGTACTTTTAGGTGTGCGTGTCATTAATGCTTAACTTAATTGTTTTAATGCAGCTTAATGTGAAACAAAAGAAACTCAGTGCGAATGAATTCTTCGAGTTTACAAAAATTTTCCATGAGTCTTAGAAATTTGAACTTACACACGTTAAACACATAAACAACTTGTCAATATATTAAAATTTTCATATTTCAAGTCATCCGAGCTAGGCTCACTGCGGTAGTTTGGTGTAGTTTTTTTAATTTCGAAAGTTTTAGCAAAATACTTATTAGTGGTGATGCCGTTTTGACCAACAATTGCTTTTTTTCCACAAAATAATGTAAACAATGTGATGTAAAAATTTGGACAAATAAACAACTTAAACAACAATTATAATATTTTTTTTATATATATCTTTCTGATCTTAAAATTATTACATGGAAATTTTATACCACCGCGCACAAAATATTATAGACTTGATTTGTACAACTTTTGCAACATTACAAGCAATTTAGAATGTAATGAGATGTTTACGGAAAATGATAAAAGCCGAACGTGTTTGATGCCTATTAAATCCAATAGATAAGTAGGGAATCCCGTCGGCTATTATCGGCGTAATTAATTGCACATTAATTTGCGATTGCGCTGTTATATAATAAATAAAAGTTGGTGCGCAGCTGGCGTGTTTGTCATGATATCCAATACTTTTATTATTCTAGAGCAACCTTAAAACGCATTCGCATCAAGATCAAGGTTCGATATATGGAAAGCTTTCGCGTTAATAAAAAGAAATGGATGTTTGAGGCTTTACAGATCATGATCGCCCTCAAACTGTTCATACTTGAAGCAGTCAGCTTAATTTTGATTGATTGAGTTCATTTATTATTTACGAACTGGCAAGCAACGAAAGAATAAATCTCACTTACTATGAATCTATTATGCAAGTAATAAGTAGTGTTCAAAGAAGGTCTTGTCCCAAATTAACTGCAAACTTAAGACTTTCGTTTTCCAAATCAGAATTCTGCAGAGGGATTTTAAAATATAATGAAATTTACATTTTCTTTAATAATAAATTATGTGTGTATTTCCTTTTACTTATTATTCAGGCACTTTCTTTGAAAGTTTAAAGTAAACACGTTTAAGGCGGTGCAAAATGTTGTGCCCTTTGACCTCTGTAGATATTATGACGGACAATTTATAAATATTTAAGCGCGACCTCATTGCCAAAATCAAGGAAAAATTCAATTTAAAACAAAAATATTATCAGAATAATTTACTTCTATAAGCTAGAAATAAAACGCAGTTGATTTTCATTAGGCGTTGTTGTTATGAAAAATAATATGAATTGTAGCACTTGACAGTCTTGACTTCACACATGTTCTGTCAATGGGCGCCATAAAACATAAATAATGTAACCGAAGCCGGTCTGACCAGCAACTCACACAATTTCTATCGCCAATAATGACTTGCGTTTTTAATAAAACATGTAATGTTAACCATTCATAGGGGTGCGCTAATTCCTTTTATTAAATTGGCGAATCATTAAAAGAGTAGCATTTTATTATCTAATTCGTTTATACATGTTGAAAATCATTGTTGTGATAATTTGTACGTGGATGACGTCCGACTTGACGCAGAAGCGGAATTTTTAGTCTAGGAAGTATGAATTGAGCATTTTATGCGTGCGTGTGGCTCGAATGCACGCGGGCTGACTACATGAGAGCGGTATTGAAAAGCTGTTTGTTGAGAGATTTGCACCGCAGACTCGTTTCTGTCATTCGACTCGGAACTGAATATGGAAATTACCTTAGGAATGACGATCTACCAGTTTCTTCCTGCGTTCGCTACTGCGAAGGTGAACTGGGCGATGAGTGTGATGCTCTGAAACACAAACATAAATAATCTTTACAGTTCAAATTTATAATTATTCTTATCGATAAGGCATAAAAGTATAATTAAATTAGTTTATTATCAAATACTAATTATTCTGTGTCAGAAATTAATCTGTGAATATGAATACGAGTTTTTGGTTAAATTAATTTTAAAATTTTTTATTTTCTCTACAAAAACCTGTTTAAAATTAAATAACAAATTAAAAGCTTTTTGTTTATGTCCGGGGGAAATTCGTCTAGCTGAAATGAAAAATTTGCCCAAATTGAGATTGTGGTTTATATTATCAAAAAAAATCTTCTACGTTTAAAATTTGCTTAAATTAATCAAAATTATAAATAGAGTGATTTCTGTTAGGTTTATTTTATTCAATTTTCGCTTATAATGGAGCCTACTTGTGAGGTTGATGATAATAAATAATATTTATGAGACTTGAGAGTTTCCCATCAGATCATTGCGTTTCTCAAACACTCGAATCTTTCATCACATTGCACTTATTGTCGCTTTGACGATGCGGCACGCGCTGGTTCTACCCACAAAATCCAAACAAACAGAATCGACTCCTAAAAGCATGAAACCCAATTTGGAATCATTTAATTCTATTACCTCTTATATTTCGACCAACAATTTTTACCTTTACTTTTTATGTAAT